ACGCTGGTCCACTGCGTTTCGACGATGCGTGTCTTCTTAGGGGAAAGCGTTCACGAGTCTCGAGGTGTAATAAACAGAGCGAGAGCCATGCTGACAAAGGAGTCCTAAGACTAGACAATGCCCTTCTCGAGGTACTTTACGCTCACCGGGGCGATAGCATCGCAGTGAAATAGTTTTCTATACCACGTAGTTTTTCATTGTACTAACGGCTATAGGTCTGCAATCTGTTATTTTATACTATTCAATAGCTTAAACCTAATTCTTCAAATAACGGATGTTCAGTAGAAACTTGAAATTCTCTTCTAAAGCGTTAAGAACTTTGTACGATTAATGTTGAAACTTTTCCTTGAAGTGTTAGGAACTTACCCTGTAAAATTAAACATTCCGAATTAAAGATGTTCATCATACGAACGCTTCGAAGCGTTCCGGAACAAGGGTCTCCAGAATCCAGCAGAAGAGAAACTCAAAATCGACAACCGATCGGATACCGTGCCTCGTAATCCAGGTGAACGATGAAGCTGTATCGGGGGTTAGTAGGGTGGGAGGAGGCCAGTTTAATCCCTCGCGTCTCTTCGCTACACGCGGCGAGGCGTGACGCGCAGATTTATGCTTTCGGGTCCGTGGTAGAGCGAGGGACTCGGAATTCCGTCGATCGAGCATTGAAAAGCGTCGGCGCGCGCGCCACGGGCTAGCGGCGAGCAACCCTTCGCAGGGTCCGTTCTCTCTCTGTGTTTTGGCAGCGTTATCGCGGCCCCCGCAGGGGACGTAGGAACGCGCGGCCGGCCCAGGAGATTATCCGTTATTGGGGAGCGGAGCACGCAGGCGACGAGACAATGCCCGGATTTCAGCTCCGCTCGATGCGCCTCCATTCCTGTTCGTCCGATCTCCCTTTCGTAGTTAGCGGTACGCGTGACTCGGCGACCGGGTCTCGCGAGGATTCCCGTTCGGGAGGAGGATGAGGTGTTCGATGCTGGGTGAAGGTCGTCGATCGATGAGGCTAGAATGAAGCCGCTTGGAACTGAAAGATAGACCGATAAAGCCGACTGCTCGATAACTGACGCGAGCCAGCTATTCGAGCGATTAACTTCGCGGAACGGAAAGTGGAATTTAATGATGTTGCGCGAAGAACTTGTTTTACTGTTGAGATATGGAAGATTGGAAGTGGGTTTAATCGCTTTGTCCTGTGAGTTATCTGTTAAATGCAATGTAGTTGTTCTTGTAATAACGATTGAAGTTTGGTCTTTATTATAGTAGAAAGGCTTCCACGATTCTGAGTAAACATTCATGTTAACGAATAGGTTTTAGTGGAAATTATGGTAGAAAGAATGGATCGAAAATACTGATTGGATTGTATTCCCCGGCAACCCTGATTCTTTCGAATAATTATCAAAACCGAGGGAGGAATAGGAGAAACAAACAATTGCGAGGCGATCCGACCCACCATTTCGACGGTCCAACTTCCTCGGGGAGTCCCTCCGCGGGTCTCGAGAGTGTAATATCCGCAAATTTTCTTGAGTATCCGAACCTGGGGTTCCAGGGCAGCCGTCAGCGAGCCATAATCCCGAGGAAATGTAAATACGAGCCGTCGCATGAATATTCAATCGACGCGCAATGAGGGTGTGTTTGCTTGTGCGTTCGACAGGCCTCTGTTAAATTAGCTGCCGAGTCAGAAAACCCTCGAGTATTTATAAACTCTGCAGTCTTCTCGCGGTGGGTGGTCAAGGTTTCGCGTGTTCGAGACAGTCGCGGTAACCAATGGCTGATTCATAAATAGTAGTCCTAACCAAGACTTCGGCTTCATCTTCGAACCCACCAATTTCACTTACTCAAATATTTTCATTTAATCTTCGAAACATTTTCGATAGTCAATCAGAAATTTTAACCATATTTTCACACTGTCAGAAATACTGAAAACTTGTATCCACACTTTCCCAGCTACTTGAACTGAAACTTCCCCAACAATCGACGCCCTAAACGAAGACCTCGGAGAACAGGAACTAAAGACCGAAGCTAAATCCTCCGGAGAGGAATCATCAGTCCAAGTCGAAGCGTTAATAGAACACCTCGTCGAACGATTTGTAAAACTTCCCCGCGGAATTCCGCAGCGGCGTGGGGGCTCGAGGAAATTTTCACGGGCTGCGCGGGTGGCCCGTCTCCCCTCGGTCCCCGAAAGGATCCACCCCCGTCCTATCGGCTATTTGCTCGAAATGAGCGTTCGTTCGTACGAATGATCGGCAAATCGGTCGGAAAAATGATTGGGTGGTGCGGCCGGATGCTTGTCGGGTAGAATCGCGGCTGTCGTCCGAAATAACAGTCGTGAGCAAGATAAATACGTCGCTGGTAACGGAGGGGGATCGCGCAAAGAAACGACAAAGATTTCTATTAAGCCGGCGGGTCGACATCCGCCCAGGATCATGCAGCTTCTCAATTTTCGTTCCGCAGTTAGCGTGCGACGAGACAAGCTCGATCGATTCGCGCTGTCTCATCGTTTTGCTGTCGCGTACCTGTTACCGGCGAGTCACGGAACCATAATGGACACCCCGCTAACGTAATCCGGCTGGCAGTGTACCTGGTGACTCAGCCAGTCAGCTGCGATTACAGACCACGCTGCACCTTTTGCATCCGTTCCACGTGGATGCACCACTCGACAGGTATTTGTGTATAATACAATACATTGTATCCTGCCGGAGACGATCGCGCGAACACGCCTCACATCGGTAATCTGATTTTGGCCGGACTAAACGCAGAAAGTTTAACTATGGGGATGGATAACGGATGATCTGGAATGGTTCCGTTAGCTGTGTTCTTCCGTGAATGTTATATAATCGTTATTCTTAGCCCCGACTAGGCTTATTCCTCGTGAATCTTTGGATATCGTTGGAATAATTCTTACGTTAGTATTTTGTAATATAACTGAAACTAATGTTAGCTTATATCTATATGAGAAATATGATAGAATTAACAGAAGTGTATATGAAAAGCAAATAATCACGTATTTATAAGTAAAGCTGTTCTTAATCAAGACGGAGGAGTTGATAATGGAATGGGAAATAGGTGAGAAGAAGTAGAGCCAGGCATCAAGCGAAATCGATCGACCGGAAGATTCTTTTACGGTGGGCCGAACGTTAAGAGGATTCAAAGGCGATGGAAAAAGGGAACGTTAAGAGAATTCACCCTCTGTAAAGTGGACCTCGGCCGCGAGAATCGTTCGACGTTTGTTTGCGGGCCGTTGCGGAGGCCTGAGGATGATATCGATAGCTACCGGGTCTTCCCGTGAGAAAAATGACATCCGTTGTAGCCGAGAAGTATCCACTCGCGCAGATTTAACTGCGGCCCTCCCACACCCTCTATGGAGATCGGCTTGAGAAATTCTTGGAACGCACGCGGCTGAGTGCTCGCCACGGATCGCGAGATACATCATGGATGGTAAAAAATTCGTGGGGGTTGAAAGTAATTCCTTTTCTTTTCCCAGTATACGTCCACTTCTCTTCGGAGTCTCCACCGATTTTATCTTCTCGAATACAACGGAATTTTAACGAAAATATCGATGCCCACCGCAGATTTTCAAACACAAACGTTTCGGGAAAATTACTTACGATAAATAACAATTTATTCTCTCTCCTTGTTTACTTTGTTTCCATGTCCCCTTGCCCTATGACTTATTTGTTAATTACGATCGATACTATTTTATCGTTAATAATTTATCAGGAAAAGGAAAAATGTTGATGCTTATTCTCTCTCTATTACAAAGGCTAACGATTGATAATAGAAAAGTATTATTTAAGTCATATTTAAAATGACAACTAACACTCAGATTTATCAAGTTCAGTTTAATATCTTCGTCACGAGTCTAACACGACACTGTAGGTCAACGGGTTAAATATCTACTACCATATTCTTGTACCCATTTCCGATTTTCACAATTGCAATATAAAAACTGTCCCAAACACCAGACAGACTTTTCAACTCCAATGTCGCATATAGAACTCGCAGTTCATTCATGGGTCTATCGTCCATTGTCGATGTGTCGATAATCTGCAAACAGTTCATCACGCGTAAATCTCACGTCCCCGTAACGCAGCCCCAATAAGCGCTAAACACACCCCTCGAGTGGAACCTCGCAAACGGGTGCAAAAACGCGTGACCGGCAAACGCTCGAGAGCCTTTTACCTTCTCGAGAGAAGGACACAAGCCAAACAGTAGTGGTAAATGAAATAGTTCTGTACCTCGTGCCGCCATATGCTCCCCCGGAAACGGCCGTATATTTTATAGCCGCGTGAACAAAGCTGGCCCCGCTCTAGTCGCACGAAAATCCCGCAAAGACCGAATTACAGTTCCAGCCCCGTTCCACGGCGGAATGTCGCTTTGATCCGGCGTTTAGTCCACACCGATGGGGTAACCGAGCAGAAATGAACTCGCGATAATGATACACGCGCGTAAAACGCGCCCCGAATAACGGGCCAGCCCCTGTGTCACCCCCCGCGAGGCTTGCGGGAAACTTCGCATCGGCCTCGCTGCTCGAGGGGTTGATCCCGGGCGGCCATCTTGTCTGCCGAAAATTTCGCGGTCGCCCCCTTCGAAGACCTACTACTCTCTACCCGATAACAGCTTGCCCGACAAGCGAGCCGGCGAAGAGGAATAATCCGCCTTTCGCTGCGCTTTACAGACCCCGCCGCGAAATTTTCTTGAATTTACATTCGTCTTGTTCGTTGAATTGCTAACATCGTCGGTTATTGAGAATTTGGGATAATATGGAATTTTATTTTCTGTGCTAGTACGAAGTTGTTTGGAATAGTCTAGAAAAATAAAGAATGAATACTTTAGTTGGAAGTATAACTGTTGGAACACAGAGTTAATGTAATGCAGGAACATAATTATAGGTGTATCTAATCGATGGTTGGTGACGCATTGCTGATAGCGAAGGAGGAGCAGAGAGCAACGAATACGCTGACCAATAGAAGGAATACGAGTTCGAATATCAATCAGGAAAATCGAAACAGGCGACCGAGCGCCGTAACGATGATGTGTATATATATGGCAACTAATTTTCGCGAGTCACCGTTAGTAGTAACTTGTTTACAAAGCAGTGCTACCATGTCCCGAATCTTCATCTTTTTAGTCGCCATTGCGGCAGTACTCTTCGTTAGTAAGTAAAAACTCGGTCAACTTGAGTGTTCGAGGACAATAAACTGATCCCAAGTGAATCACTGGATGTTTTACTTACGGAAGTTCAATGTCTGAATGCCTGAAGTTGATTCAAATTTGGCCCGATTTCGAGCAATGACATTGGTAGCTCCAGAATCAACCGGGAGCGTCGTATAGAATAATGACACGATTTATTTTTGTTCAAGGCACGCATGGCCAAAACGAACAATGCGGTACGAACGAGCACTTCAGTGGTTGTGGATCGGTTTGCGAACCCACTTGCGAACGACCTAACCCGCAGTTCTGCCCTGATGTAAGTTTTCGATTTGATGTTGTGTACTGTACCTCGTGACCAGTTTAGTAATTAGTTATTATCTGTTGCTGTTGTTTAGAAGTTTCGACAATCAGTTCAATATCCAAAATGAAATTAAGGAAACAAGAATCACCCATCAAAGTAGACATTTGAATGCAGCGTGAAAGATCTGTTAATTATTATTCAATAATTTAATAGATCTTCTAAGAAACATTTCCATGTAACTGTATTGATATTCAAATCGAAATTAAGAATACTGCCACACATCGAAGTAAATTTGCCCTTTGAATATAGCTAAAGTGTTCATTTCGTTTAAGTTTCTTTCGCTTCGCAAACATTGAATGTAATTCAAACTTTGTCGTGTCATTTCAGTATTGCAGAGCGGGTTGTCGATGTGATGACGGATACTTGAGGAATACTACAGGAAGTTGCGTATCTCCCCAGGATTGTTAAAACCAGTGGATCCTATTTACTTTTCGTTTATTATCTACGATTCCAAATACCTATTCTTTCTTGAAGTATCCTTCCAAATGTAATATACCAACGTGCGAATAAATAGCTGTTCAATTGACGCACCTTTTTAATACCAAGTTTATTTCCTATACTAATAGAAAGAGTTTTAGAATGTAGAAATATCTCTGTCTGTAACTGTAGATGCTCAATACCAGGCATGGAATACACATCGACAAATGCTTAACAACATTTCGTCACTGCACGTTTATGCAGCGAAAAATTAAACAAACGAAGTTTATATAACGTTACGCAACGGAAAAGCGAAGTATACATTTTGAACCAAGAATCGCGAAGAAATAGTCTATTAAAGGAGCTTTTAAATACATTTAAAAATCCTAAAGAAGCCATTTCTCATAAAATTATGAAGCCATCATAAAGATACTACACCCGATCGTTTTCAGTCCTTAATACTAGAGCTACCGAGTAATCATACTATTTTCTTAAAATTTCTTTACAGAGACTACAAGAATGTATAACTTAATATTCCAATTAATTTAAAATTCAGTTTGCGTATTGCATAATGAACTTGAGTAATTTCCCGGAATAGGATCTGTTATTCGACAATTACATAATGGAGAAATCACATAGGTCATTTTGACCAATTAAATATTGTTCTTCTCTCATCGATAATTATACTTCGGAGCAAGCACATGCGTTACGCCTATATACGCCTAAAATTCGCCTGTTTTTCAAATAAATTATCAATACAAAGTAGATGTAGGAATATAATTATAAACTTTCCTAGTCGATAGTTGAGTAGAGAGGGAAGAATATGCTGACCAAGAGAGGAAATACAAGTTCGAATACCAATGTGAAAAATCGTTACGGGTCGACGGGCAACATAACGATGGCGTCTATATAAAAGGCAACTGGTTTCCGCGTTTAGTATCAGTCGCATTTTGTTTACAAAGCAGTGCTACCATGTCCCGAATCTTCATCTTTTTAGTTGCCATTGTGGCAGTGCTCTTCGTTAGTAAGTATAAGGCTCGGTCGTTGATTAACTCGATTGTTCGAGGACAATAAATTGATACCGAGTGAATCACTGGATATTTTACTTAAGAAAGTTCAATGTCTGAATGCCTGTAGTTGATTCAAATTTGGCCTGTATTTGTTGAGTATTGAATGAAAGGAATGTGTATGTGTGCACAAAGTTAAAGTGTGTGTGTTGTCCATTGAGTACAGCGTGATTAGTAATGAACTTGTTGTTGTATGTCTGTCTGGTATGTCTCTCAATGTCTCTCTCTATATATAAAAATACTGATATAGGGCGGTGTCCTTAGAGACAAATCAGAAGGCTAAAACGCTCGGGGTGTTGCTAATTACAGTTTTTTAACCTACGCCCACATTACTTGTAGTGGAGGTAGGGGGTACGTCGTCCCTTTTGACTTGCAAAAGTACCGGTGGCTGTGCGCTCGGGGTTTAGGTGGTTGAGCTGCAGTTTTTTAATGATATGTTAGCTTCGACAGTTGATCATTTATAACATCGGATGTAAAAATTGCAGCTAGCAATAAAATGCTTCAAAAATTTACTTATTACTGTGTTTAGACATGATAGCTGCGTCTCAACCAAATGAAACGCGCCCGAACTCTATGCAACAGCGTGGTCGAGTATGCGACGAGAACGACCAGTCTTGCATAGGAAGTGCTGGTATTTCAATGGGCTGTGGTAAGTGAACTACATACCTACCATTAATTTTTTTTGTTTTCCACGAAATGTTTTTCACAAGCTAACTCCTCCGCGGATAAGAATTGTTGCTGTGGTAATTCTTCTGCTTCCCAAACTCGCGTCAATTGTTTCTCCAATGACACTTTCTAACTTTGTCTCCCCAGTATCTAACCAGCCTAATCTAGTTTTTTGTAAAATAATGTTGTCGGTGCACAAATGAATTTGTCCCCCACTTAATAATTTATAAGATAAGGTGTCTCCTAATAAAACCTCAATTTCTCCGGGTTTGTAAAAGTTTGGATCTGCTAATTTGATCTGTCACGGCAAACCAAGAAAATCGGGATCGATTTGTCGGTATGGAAGAAAGCCTGTGATGGTGGGTAAACAAATAAATCTAACTTTTGTACAAATGGAACGATCAGCCGACCCGATGGTGGCTTTGACTGAATATTTGGCACAAATGCGTAATTTTTGTAATTCGGCAATATCTAAATGTATTGTTTCTCTTTGCAATTACAATCTATTCGCAAGTTGTTTTGTTATAAAATGAGCTTGTGACCCTCCATCAAGTAATGCGCGGCATGTATTTACGTTGTTATATTTGTCGACTATTCCTATCTGCGCTGTACCTAGTAAAACTTCTGAGTCAAGCCGTACTAATAACGCGGTTTGGCAACTGGTTGATTTGGTATAGTCTAAATTGTTACCGCTTGTTTCCGGAATGTTTAAAGTTATGCTTCTATCATTTGGAAAATGCAGCAGGGTATTGTGCTTTTTATTGCATTTCCTACATCCCCATGACCGACACTGAATTACGCTGTGATTCGCCTTTAAGCAATTGATGCACAGTCTTGCTCTCCTTACGTTATCTGCACGATTTGAGGGAGAGAAGCTCAAAAATCGAGCACATTGATAAATGTCGTGTGACTGTCTGCAAATCGGACACGGCGGTTGTCTTTCGGTCGTAATAAATGTGCGACCTTGCACGGAATTCCTAGCCTTGTTGGGCGTATCTAAATTATTTGTTCTCACTGAATTACCTTTTATTAATCCTTCAATACGACGGTTTAATGCGCTTTTTAAGTCACAGTAGTCGTTACTGAAATTAAATCGTTCGCCACCGTAGTCACTGTCTACGTCCTCTGTTTCAATTTCTAGTTGTATAGAATTGTATGCTTGATTTAATTGCTCTAATTTGTCCAAATATGAAGTTAACTCGAAACTGCCTAAATCTGTGTGGCTATCTATATATGACATCAGACTTGTGACTTGACCTTTAATGGTTTCACGTTGATTGATATGTCGGTCTGGTATGTGTCTCAATGTCTCTCTATATATGTAGAAATACTGATATAGGGTGGCGTCCTTAGTGACAAATCAGAAAGCTAAAACGCTCGGGGTGTTGCTAATTACAGTTTTTGAACCTACGCCCACATTACTTGTAGTGGAGGTAGGCGGTACGTCGTCCCTTCTGACCTGCATAGGTACCGATGGCTGTACGCTCAAGGTTTAGGTGGTTGAGCTGCCGTTTTTTTATGATATGTTAGTTTCGACAGTTGGTCATTTATGACATCGGACGTAAAAATTGCAGCTAGCAATAAAATGCTTCACAAAATTTACTTATTAGCGTGTTTAGAACCGTCATCTGAGGCTGACCCAAATAACCCGTGCCCGAATTGTGAGGAACGGCGTGGTAGAGGATGCGGCAAGAACGAGATGTGGTTGATGGATCCTTCTTGTGCATCGGGGTGTGACCCCAATTGCTATAAACATGTCCCGCAGTACTGCCCTATGGTAAGTTTTCCATTTGATGTTGTGTACTGTACCTCGTGACCAGTTTAGTAATTAGTTATTATCTGTTGCTGTTGTTTAGAAGTTTCGACAATCAGTTCAATATCCAAAATGAAATTATGGAAACAAGAATCACCCATCAAAGTAGACATTTGAATGCAGCGTGAAAGATCTATTAATTATTATTCAATAATTTAATAGATCTCTTAACAAATATTTTCATGTAACTGTATTGATATTCAAATCGAAATTAAGAATACTGCCACACATCGAAGTAGATTCGCAAACATTTAATGTAATTCAAACTTTGTCGTGTCATTTCAGTATTGCAAAGTGGGTTGTCAATGTAGATACGGATACGTGAGGAACAGTTTAGGAGAGTGCGTATCTCCCCAGGAATGTTAAGACCAGTGGATCCTATGTACCTTTCGTTTATTATCTACGATGCCAAATCTCTACTCCCGCTTGAATTATCGTTTCAAATGTAATGTACCAACGTGCGAATAAATAGCTGTTCAATTGAAATACCTTTTTATTACCAAGTTTATTTCCTATACTAATAGAAAGAGTTTTAGAATGTAGAAATATCTCTGTCTGTAACTGTAGATGCTCAATACCAAGCATGGAATACACATCGACAAATGCTTGACAACATTTCGTCACTGCACGTTTATCCAGCGAAAAACTAAACAAACGAAGTTTATATAACGTTACGCAACGGAAAAGCGAAGTATATATTTTGAACCAAGGATCGCGAAGAAATAGTCTATTAAAGGAGCTTTTAAATACATTTAAAAATCCTAAAGAAGCCATTTCTCATAAAATTATGAAGCCATCATAAAGATACTACACCCGATCGTTTTCAACCCTTAATACTAGAGCTACCGAGTAATTATACTATTTTCTTAAAATTTCTTTACAGAGACTCCAAGAATGTATAACTTAATATTCCAATTAATTTACAATTCAGTTTGCGTATTGCATAATGAACTTGAGTAATTTCCCGGAAAAGCATCTGTTATCCGACAATTACAAAATGGAGAAATCATATAGGTCATTTTGACCAATTAAATATCGTTCTTCTCTCATCGATAATTATACTTCGGAGCAAGCACATGCGTTACGCCTACATACGCCTAAAATTCGCCTGTTTTTCCAATAAATTATCAATACAAAGTAAATGTACGAATATAATTGTAAACGTTCCTAGTTGATAGTTGGTGACGCATTGTCGACAGCGGAAGGAGGAGCAGAGAGGGAAGAATATGCTGACCAAGAGAAGAAATACGAGTTCGAATATCAATGTGGAAAATCGTCACGGGTCGACGGGCAACATAACGACGGCGTCTATATAAAAGGCAACTGGTTTCCGCGTCTTAGTTTCAGTCGCATTTTGTCTACGAAGCAGTGCTACCATGTCCCGAATCTTCATCTTTTTAGTTGCCATTGTGGCAGTGCTCTTCGTTAGTAAGTAAAAGGCTCGGTCGTTGATTAACTCGATCGTTCGAGGACAATAAACTGATCCCAAGTGAATCACTGGATATTTTACTTACAAAAGTTCAATGTCTGAATGCTTGTAGTTGATTCAAATTTGTCCTGATCTCGAGCAATGACATCGGTAGCTCGAGAATCAACGAGAAGCGTCGTATAGAATAACGACACGACTTATTCTTGTTCAAGGTACGCATGGTCAACAATGCGGCGTGAACGAGCAGTTCAATTCTTGTGGATCGGCCTGTGAACCCAGTTGCAGTCAACCTTCACCGCAGTTATGCACTATGGTCAGTATTCGATTTGATGTTGTGTACTTGTACCTCGTGACCAGTTCAGTAATTAGTTATTATCTGTTGCTGTTGTTTAGATGTTTCGACGTTCAGTTCAGTATCCAAAATGAAATTAAGAAAACAAGAATCAGCCATTAAAGTAGACATTTGAATGCAGCGTGAAAGATCTGTTAATTATTATTCAATAATTTAATAGATCTTTTGACATATCTTTCCATGTAACTGTATTAATATTCAAATCGAAATTAAGAATACTGCAACACATCGAAATAGATTTGCCCCTTGAATATAGCTAAAGTGTTCATTTCGTTTAAGTTTCCCTCGCTTCGCAAACATTTAATGTACTTCGAACTTTGTTGTATCATTTCAGCAATGCATAATTGGTTGTCAATGTAAAGAAGGATACTTGAGGAATGCTGCAGGAAGCTGCGTATCTCCCCAGGATTGTTAATACCAGTGGATCCTATTTGCCTTTCGTTTATTATCTACGATGCCAAATACCTACTCTCTCTTGAAGTATCCTTCCAAATGTAATATACCAACGTGCGAATAAATAGCTGTTCAATTGACGCACCTTTTTAATACCAAGTTTATTTCCTATACTAATAGAAAGAGTTTTAGAATGTAGAAATATCTCTGTCTGTAACTGTAGATGCTCAATACCAGGCATGGAATACACATCGACAAATGCTTAACAACATTTCGTCACTGCACGTTTAAGCAGCGAAAAATTAAACAAACGAAGTTTATATAACGTTACACAACGGAAAAGCAAAGTATATATTTTGAACCAAGAATAGCGCAGGAATAGTCTATTAAAGAAGCCATTAAACACATTTAAAGACCCTAAAGAAGCCACTTCTCATGAAGTTATGAAGCCATCATGAAGATACTGTACACGATCGTTTTTAGCCCATAATACTAGAGCTACCGAGCAATCATACTGATTTCTTGAAATTTAATCACTTAATATTCCAATTAACTTACAATTCACCGAAAAAGCATCTGTTATCCGGCAGTTGCAAAAAGGAGAAATCGCATAGGTCATTTTGACCAATGCAACATTATTCTCCCCTCAAGGACAATTATACTTTGGAGTAAGCACAGACTCTACGCCTACACACGCCTAAAGTTCGTCTGTTTTCTTAATAAATTATTGATACAACGTAGTTGTATTAATTATAGCTGTGTTAAGGCCACTTATAGCCTTACCCTTTCGTTCGGGCCTTTAAACCACCCTAGTTTCAGTTTTGTATACACCTTTTATCTTTTCTAAGACTTAGCTGTACATTTGGTAGTTTTTTCGTAACAATAAGAGCCTTCGTCCCGTCGCAACTTGCAATCGGCCTTGCGGTATTACGAGAAGGAACCGTGGCAGCCATAAATCCTTGAACTCATAAGGCCCTCGATTCTTGCTGTAGATTTTCCTTGTCTATTGTTCACATCTGGCGTCCAGTCACCAGTATTTTTAACTCTCTAGCCCGTCTGTTAGCATGTGTTATTAAGGCCAAAGCGTTTCTTGCTTTTTACCTGCCACGGTCGACGATTGCAAACGGGACGAATTAGTTATTAACATTAGCAACTAGGAAGACCCAAGAAGGGAGGGAACTGTATCTCCCTTCCACAACCATCTAGATCTAAAAGGGCCAACCAGAACGTCTTCACCCCCGCGAAGACGACATTGCGGAGGTGTCGTCGAAGACGATTCTAGGAGGCCCAGGCAGTTGATATACACAGTTGGATACACATAGTTGAGCAAGACAAGTTGGAGAAACAAGTTAGACAAGTATCAACTCAAATAGTACATAGCACAGAGTACGGAGTAGGAAGTACGGATTACAAAGTATCAAGTAGCAATTTCGATCAAGCACATAACACTAGCGTCAAAATCCACTTCACCTCCTACTCGTTTCTAAGTTTTGTTCCCGATCATATCGGGTGGTCCTTCGAACCGTACAAATTTTATTAGTCGGCACACCACGTGCAAAATTCAACAAAGCTCGACCACTATTGCGGTAGCCACGAGTATTAACAAGCTGAGAAATAAATCGTAGGGCAAGGGTTAAGATCTCCAAACCGCAAATCGCATCATGAGCAGAGCTACGCTGATCGGAACACCGCGTTCATCGGGAACGAGGAAAAGGGAAAGGGAAAAAAGTGGAAAAAAAAGATCAAGGTCAGAGGGTGGAAAAGCGGACGCGCACGTGTGCGAGTGGCGCGCATTTTCGGGACGCGATGCGGTCGTGCAGATGGGGCGCGGCGGGCCGCGTGCAGGGGTGGCCCGGCGGCCATGTCGGTTCCCAATTAAACAAATGCCTGGTAGGAGCTCGAGCAACCCCTCAGGCATAGGTGGCTCTCTTTTCCACCCCCCGAGCGTCGTCGAGTTCTCCTCTGTTCGCGAGGGGGACCAACACGGCGCGGCGCACGTGTCGAGCGGCATGCGAAATTTTAGCCGAGAATTGGCTGGTGTGCGTGTGCATGTTCGATCCATCCGCGATTCCTTGTGTGCGCAAGATACGCCGCGCGGATCGCTCGCGGACCGGCGCGTGTGTTGCGACACGTCGCGCGTGCAATCGCGAACACGCACGCGACTGGAATTCGTAATTGGCCATTGGATCGTTCGGCGGCCATTTTACGTGGCAGATTGTCTTCTTTTACGTAATCGAGCCGGCGATGAAATCGATATCGAGGATCGAGCGGGTATGCTATAAATAGTAATGCCTGGCTTTCCTAGTGTCCTCTTGGGAATGGATGATGAAGTCATTATGCACCTACTGTGTCTCCTTTTGTAATGAAATAGAAATTTGCGATCGGAGATGCTTGGTTCAGCTCGATTTTGTTAGTCGGAAGGATGATTGAAATGAGATCGCGAAATGAATGACAATGGAATATTTGATTAATCCTAACTTTTGTGAGTTCATTCGTGAGAACTAGAATGAGTGCCAGGTTTCGATGTTCATCTTGTTGGGAAATGCAATTACGAACACAAAGTGGTATGAAATATATATGAAGGCTAGGTCCAAGCGATTGAACTGTAAGAGACATTCGATGGATACAGATAGATAACCCTTTGAGAAGCATGCAGAACCTCGAATGCGCGAGAAAGAGAATGCGTCACGTTGTGATAAACTTTTATCGACGATGACCTTATCAGAAAAACTTGTTTTCCCTCCTCCTCTCGTGTCCATCGTAATCTCGCGATGTTCCGGAAGCCTGGTCAATCGTCACTGACGAAAGGAGATCAACCGGGAACGATAGGAGGCCTCAGCACTTTCGACCTCTCCGTGGATTGCATTATGGATCCAAATATTGGAGCACCTCTTCAAGGTTCGGCCACGGTCAAACTGTTTGACTTGTCGGCTACTCGTCGGCAAGGCTTTGTGCAGTCTGGCTTGTCAGTGGCCGGACAGTGACAGTGGTAATCCGGAAAGAAGCACAAAACACGTGCGAACATTCGAAACAGGAAAATTTCGAAATTCATTCAAAAAATGAATAATGGAGAAATTTTCGAAAATCGAAAGTAATGCGATGAATAAACAATGAAACACTTATATTTATCTAAATAAATGACATTTAGTATGCACGCAGCAATCATTTTATTATTAAACAATTCCTATATCTAAATCTTTCTATCGTTCTAACTTAATTCATTGTAATTTCAACGATATAAATGTTAAATTAACTCTTAAATAGTAGAAGATGATGTAATTATTTCTTATCATAGCCATTTACCGCGCAATTATTTGCGCGTCTGTAAAAAAGCATGTCACGCATGTGTCAACTACGGTTTATCGGTATTTTTATGGAACGTAAAAAACAGAAGTCGTCTCGATTGCTTATGAGATTGATACAACTTTATCGAAGATGATTTAGAAAGACATCGTTGTTCATCTACTTCCATTCTAGTTCCACCATCGACGTCCAGGCCGCCGCTTGCATTTATGTTTACTACACTGATTAATATCGATGCACACTCCTCTGCAATCTCTAGCGTAGCCATCCTTGCAGTAGCAACCGTCGTTGCACCTCTAAAAGTACAGTATTCAACGATAAAATTATTTTCATCGAATCGTTCGAATTTCACCGTTAAATTCAAGTCGTTCTTTCACTAGACTCACAATGTTTACAATAGGACATGGCTCGCCCAGATTTTCGCACGTTGTCTGACACGCGGATCCACATTGGTACTCCTCGTTTACCCCGTCGCATAACAGCGGCATACGGAAAGTGGCTGAAAATTATCCCAATTTAAAAAACTAATTTCACTAGTGTTGTCTATCGCTGTTTCGAACGTTAAAATTTATTATCTATCGTTTATAGTAGCTGACAAAGAAAGAGGGAGGTTTGTAAGGGTAAAGAATGGACACTAGAACAATTTTCGTGGAAACATTCAGAAGAAAGAGATGAGAGAAAGTTAGAATTCATAAAACAGAAAGAAACGTGGAAGAAATAGGGTTTCGATACCACCAATTTCAACCAGGATTATTCAATTCTATCTTTGTTAGGCTATCCAATATCCAATTTAACAAGATATTCAGAAATCGGCCACATTAAACTTCAATACAACGGGAACAACTCGCAGTAATCGTCTTAAAAAACTTACACAAGGAAAGCACAGCCGGTAGAACGGCACACAAGACAAAGATTTTCAACAGCATGGTGTCACGCACGATTGTTCTCGGTTGAATGTAAACTGACGCGGCAGGAGTCATCAGATCAGCTTATATACGTTCTGTAAACATATTTCTCTACCACATCTGTTGAACAAATATACACAGACTGATCCAGCCTGATCCAATACAAGATTACAAGAAATTAATGTGATTCCCCTTCCCCCAATTTCCCCCGTTTTTATAGATATACGGAGTTACGAATATATAGTAAACTCTAATTGTAATTCCCCAACGTTTCCTGGGATCGCCTTGCAAAAATATATTACTCATCATTGGTATTCGTCTTATCT